TTAAATTGCAGCAGGATCACACTCCAGGTTTTCAGAGGCTTGTGCTGAAATTAAAGTTAATTATCAGTTTCTATTAACTGCAATGCCAGTCAGATCAGACCTTTAATTCTTGTGAGCAGCTCTTATGTACTGGGTTAGATATATATTGATAAATCTTTCAGCTAAGGATGAAAACTTGTAGCTTGGGATTCAAAAATGGACACCCCAAATCACCAGTTACTTCTGAAAATCTTAGCTAATGTTACTTGAAAAGGAAACATTTCTTTACATAGAAAATTAAAACTGGGACAAAATCCCCAAAGTTATCTGTTTATTACTAATTCAGAAGTAATCCCCAGTACAGAGCAAAGTATTAAATGTACATCCCAGGAATTAGTCTTAGGAATTCCTGTCACTGTTAGAAAGCTATTAGCTTATGGACATTGGACAAAGTAAAGTGCTCATGGTTAAAAGTACTTCCAAATACAGAGCCATGTGGATAACAAAACAACTTATCTATCTCTGCAGAACTGAAGAGAAGAAAGTCCAGTTGCTGAAAGGTTTTTAAAAAAACCAAACCCTGTGGCTGCATTTTGACTCTTGTTATATAGGATATAAAAAGGCAAGGGTTTTTCAAAGGCATTTAGCTTTAAACATTCACAGCACCTTTGAATGTCCTCAGCAGGATCAGAAAAGGGGGATTCAATTTTCAAAGATAATTGTGTCAGATAACTGTCTCAGGCCTTTTCAGAAACAATCTGATAAATACCTAATTACCAGCCAAGTGATTTCAGAGCCATACAGCTGGGCCTGAGAGAAGGCTACAGAGAATGACAAGGTCCCCTAAAGCCATCAATAGTAAAAGCCAGTGGAATTATGAATTACTTCATTTATTCAGCTGACAGAGTGCATGGAACATCTGGAGAAAAATATGATTAAAAGGTTGAAATCTTAAGAGCACAGCATCAATGTTTATTTGCAAACAAGACTGATCAGTACAATTACCTCCCCAAGACCACAGAATGAAGTACTTGGAAAGTAAATTGTAGTTTTCAAAACTAGACCAACTTTACACTGGCTTTCTTTCTATTTCAGTTACTAGCTTATTTCTGCTCTCCCTGAATAATATCCATTTCCAATAACTATCCCCTCAGAAAAAAATTTATAATCAGCAACATCACAGCCTCGTTTCACACTTAAAACGCTTAATTCTAGTTTTAGTGTTATTACCATTTCCTGGGAAATTTCCCATTTTAAGTAAAATAAATATTTCTGGTATTGGTCGGGAAATACTACTGTAGTGATATCTCTCTCAAAAAAAAATTCAAAATGCCCTCTGTCTATGATTAAAGAGATTATTGGGTACATCTCACTGGGAAACTGTAGTTGTAAAGCAATATCTTTCCTCAAATAAAAACTCAAGTTATCCAAAAGCCTATTTGCAGTTGTTTATGCTAAATATAATTTTTATAGACCATTTTTTGGGTTGAAAAAATCCATCCAAATGCAAACTGTGGTCAATCCTGTAATCTTGCTGAACATGAAATTCCCATTAATTTTAATCATCATTTTGTGCATGGAGTACTGACAAAAGTGAGCCCATAATGTACATGCTGAATGGGGGACAGAGAAGGTATAATTGTTTCATTAGGATTTGGGACAAAATTGATCTTTTTGTTCTGATGACACTAAAAATAAAGCTAAGGGTATTAAACTAAGAGCAAGCCATGAAGAAAATCTATCCCTTATGAAATTTTGCTGTTATTGAGATTTGTGATAAGAAGTGAACTTCCTCTAAAATATGAGGAAATCCTAGAATAAGTTCTATTGTGAATTTCTTCTTTGGATAAAATAACATTGTGATAACATGGAAAAAATCAGCCATCCTTGTCCATTAGGTTGGAAGCTGAACAGAAACAGTTAGGCTCTGTCTACACTACAGAGTTTTTGTGGCAAAACAGTTGTTTTTCTGGAAAAATCTCGGAGCATCAACACCCCAAGAGCATTTTTGCACACAAAAAATCGAAGGAGCAGAGGTGTTTTGGGCAATAAGTATTCCTGTTTCTATGAGGAATAAGTTCTTTTTGAGCAAGAACTCTTGTGCTTGGACAGGGAACAGGGTTTTTTTTTTTTTTTTTTTGCACAAAAAGAGGCAATCAAAAAAAAGCACAGGTACCCTGGTGGCCATTCTGTAAATAGCAGTCAGTTTCCTTTTGAGAGAGTGTCCATGCAGTCTGGATGCAATCTTTGGCAAAAAAAAAATCACTTTTTCGATGTGCTTTTGCAGTGTGTACACTCTCTTGTGCAAGAAGTTTTTGTGGAAGATCTCTTCCGCAAAAAGCTTCTTGTGCAAGAAGACCATAGTGTAGCCATAGCCTTAGAGATGAGCAAGCTTAGGATATAACCCTGGGTTCATGTCAAGTAGGCCCTGTCCCACAAGAAACTCAATTCTTGGTGCTGTTGACTAGTCTGGGAAATTTGAGCAATTCATCACTAACTCTTCTTACACTATAATTGGCAATATAGGTATCCTCTTGAGACTGCCACACAAGAGGGAGCCGTGGGGCAGGGGGAAAGAGGGGAGATTTCTTAAAAATGGACATTCAGTGTTTGACATGTGAAAAGGTCCTCTCTTCAGGACAGAATTACTTTGGCAAAGCATGTAAGTTCTACTGATACCTTGAGGAAAGAGGCTGTCATAGAGTCATAGCTTTGCACTATCACTCAAAAAAGAACTTCAATTTACTGGCACTAAGTATCGGAAGGGTAACTGAACACATCTTCTATAAAGCACCACCTACCCTTGGGTGCAATCTCCATTGAAGCCTGGTAGCAGCTTTGCCAGTGGGCACATGGAAGCATACTGTTCCTGCTTAGCATTGACCACACATTCAATCTGAAGGCATGACACTCCATGGAAACAGTGGATGCTACAGCAGCAGCTTCCTCAGGACAGGTGTGTGTAACTCCGCAAGGGGAGCGCTCCTGTAGTGAGACACTTGGGCAGATAGAAACAGTAAAGAGGAAACCAAGAAGTTCATTGAAGAATAAATTGCTAGAGTAGAAAGAATGTCTGACAGGCCTTTCCTGGGGAAAGGACTTAGGCCTAAGGAGGAAAAGAAATATTTGTTTTCTGCCCTCAACAAACAGGGTGATACAAAGACCTATTTCTGTATATTTGAAAATATGGCCTCACCGCCAATTACCACTTTTCCCCTTACGTGGGAGAAAGAGTAGGGAGTAGCCTGACCTGGCCAAATGAAAGTAATAAAGCTTTATGGTGGGAGGGACAGATGAAAACTGCTGAAAAAAGGGACTGAGAGTAGCTGACTCATCCCCTGGAAATGCAGGGTTTGAAAAGGACCACAGGGCTGGGAGCCTCCATTTTACACAGACCAAGCTGAAGTAGGACCAGTATCAGAATAAAGGCAGGAGTGTGCAAGTCTCACCAAGAGGGCTCCAGGCTCCCATATTTCTCAGCTCTCCTCCATGTGGAAACAGGGATAGAAAGATAGGTGTGGGGGAAATGGAGAAGCCCTCCAGCCAATAAGTCCCAGTCAGCATGGTTTCTAGTAGACATGGAGCAGGAAAGAGAAAAGGGAAGTTTAATTCTCACTTTTCCCAGGCTCGGGTGGGGTAAGGCAGGCATAGCACAGGGACTTCACAAAGAGAAGGGGGCCAGCAGGATGTGAAACCTGGGGTCTGCTCAGTTCAGGCTTGAATAGCCACACAGGGCAATACAGCCGAAGGGAAAAGGTCCCATTTTTTAGGTATGATGACAGGAGTCCCCTCCAGCATATCAATTTGTTACCATGTTGAGATTGGGGAAGGAGGGAGAGGGCTGATGAGATTGGGGTTGCCAGCCCCAGGAATTTGGTTGACGCTCATTCAAAACTGGGGTCGAGTGGCAGAACTGGGTATGGGAGCAGAGGCAATCCAGACAATCAGGCACTGGCATTCGGATACGTACCAAGCGTATGTAAGAACTCAGCGAGCCAACATTAATTTGTTGTAACCTCATTATAGCTGTAAGACAACCAGCCTTGCAGATGGTGGTGTGGATCTGCAGGCACAGTATTATCTTTTGGTCACATAGGCATGTGTCCAGGTTGCCTCAGAGTTCACAGCTGGGCTTCAGTGATGAAGCAGTACTCAGCTGGCATGCAAGATGAGGCATGTTATGGGACTGACTAACACCAATGCAATATGCTATGCAGGCCCATCAGTGTCTCTGTATATAATTGTGGTGTATCATGAGGAAAACAATTTAGGAATGCTTAACTGGGTGGAATTTATGCTCATGGCAAAAAGGGCACCCTGAATTTTTTCCAGGAGTTCATATTCTTTTGTCTGAAATGCTTCAGCTGGGAAGGAGCTGCCTCTCCACCCAGGGTGGACAAATCAAAGAGGTATGTGAACAAGAAAGTGGGCAAATGCCTTGGGAGCACAGGAGGGGCAGTAGTTGCACATCCAGGCATAGTATATGTGGCAGCCGAGGTTTTTCTGGCAGATGGGGGAAATGGAAATCTATCCAACTTTGTTAAAAACATGACAGCACCTAACATAAAAGATGTCATTAGAAGATGTCTGGGAACCAGACTGGACACGGGGAGGAGGCAGCCAAGCTAATTGCTGGTGCCTCCTTATGGCCAATGCCCAGCGCATGTACTCCACAGGAAAAGTATATAGTGACCAGATAAAGAGGTGTTCATTAAAGGAATGCACATGGGGCAGTTAGGGAATCCTATGATTGGTAGAGAAAGGGAGCCAACTCTCCCATTCTCATAGCCCATCTTAACCCGCGTATGTGGCAGGGGTGGATGGTAAAGTCCAGACAATGGATTTGGTAGAGAGACTTGGATGGAAGAGAGAGGGAGCTAGTAAAAGCCCTTTGAATAATTATGGAATAAACAGGGGGTTACATGCACTGTACACTTATCTGCTGTATAGTCCCAAACATCAAATAATAATTGCAGCCTGATTAATAATTGCAGCAATGTCAATATTTCCTGTTTTTTCAGCGTGGTCATTGTCTGACCATAACACTGAGAAAGCAGTTCTCCAAACAAGGGTACTGTGCTCCTTCTGCCAGTGTTGACTGTAAAGTGTCAACTAACAGTAAGTATTTCACTCATTATCTGCTTCTCCTCCCCCCCCCCACTTCCCCCAATAGAGTCCTCTGAAATGTTAACTCCTTGGGGAAAAAGAAGGGAGAGGGTTGAAGAGAATTCCAGCTTTCAAAATGAGACTTGAAGAGTGGCATAATCCCTTTGAAATTCAGATTGATCTGATAAAGTCAGAATGGTTGTTAATAGCAACCGTTTCATCTACTTTCTTTACCTAGACTCTTGCATTTATACATGGTCCTGAGTAGGGAGCTCTGGGGAGTTGTGCCATTGCACAAGGTATATGGGGAAGGATTGTGCTTTATGGAAACCCTGCCTTCTCCACACCTTAGAAGGAGCAGCACTTGTGCTCCCCAAGAAGAGGAAATTCAGTTGTCTCTGACACTTTCCAAGAGCAAATATTTTTCAACAAATATTCTATTTGCAGCCTCTTCGAGACAGGCTCTCTCATGAGGGAGCAAGTCTCAAGTAATTTAACAGAAGAAAATCTTCAGAGGTGTAGCGGAGTTAGTCTAACTTAAAAAACAGCTGATAGTCTTGCAGCACCTTAGAGTCTAACAAAACCATGTAGACAATACTATCTACATATTTTGTTAGTTTCTAAGGTGCTGCAAGACTATCAGTTGTTTTTTAAGTTTTTTCAGAAGAAAATGTTACCCTATCACCTCTGAGTAAATCCTATTTTCTCACTAAATTGCAGAAGAAGGCTGTTTACTTAACTTGCATGGTTAAAATACTACAAGTGAATTAGACATCTCTAGTAAGTTGCATCCTTCATTGTGGTCATTTGCAATGCATTAAAGCAAATATGCAAGTATATTCCCCTTGTAAGAGAAAAATTTGGGATACAATCCTGGTAGGAATTTGAGATTCTGAAACCTCTTTTTTTTATACGGTTAGATACTATTCCTTAAAGTCTTGGATAAATTCTTTTTTTTTTTTTTTTAAATTACTAAGGGTAGGTGTCAGATTCCTACATCCTCAAGAGGTAAAATAATACATAGCTACATTTTAAAAAATACACTTTCTTTCTCTCCTGATTTCTCCCTTTAGGAGAGAAAACCTTGACAGCAGCATCTTTGATCTGAAGCATGAACTCACACCTGAAGTTGGTTGTTAATTAAAGTACAGGCATTAAAGCCTTTTATGGGCATTTTCAACAAACTAAAGGGAAGGAAGCCAAATAGGGACAGTTAGCATGCACAGACAATGTCCCACAATTTTTTTTTACAGTATATGTAATGTGAGCTGAATACTTATGAAAACCTGAAACTAATATTTTCAGTATAGGAAGAAAAACCCATTTGTCACATTAGCAGCTCACCATGTTCCATCTCTTCTAAGAGCCAAATAAACACTACAGTGAATTCACATTTTCCTGTTACCTTTAGGAAGCTTCCATAAAAGAAAATCTGATTTTTTTTTCCCTGTAAAATTTTACATCAAAATCATGATTCACTGGGCAGCCTTTGGCCATCTCTAACTTCGGTGCTCATTTTCAACCCCTATTTAAACGTGTCAGAGACACACTCACATGCTCACACAAGCCCACCAATCCCTAGAAGTATAATAGACATTTATGAAACAGGTATTTTTAAAGTAATATATGTTTCTGTCATAACTGCATGGAATTTCTTAATGAAGAAACTGCTGTATAATCAGTCACACCACCCCCCAGGCAGCATACTAAAGCACTGGAATTCAAGTCACAGAAGCAAGACTCTAAACAAACAGGTCAATTAGCTAAACTCATAGGCTATACATCTAGACTACAGCTTCTTGAGCAAGAAGCTTTTTTTGGAAGAGATCTGAAAAAACTTCTTGCATAAGAGAGTGTCCACACTGCAAAAGAACATAAAAAAAGTGATGCACTTATTTGAAAGATTGCGTTCAGACTGCCTGGACGCTATCTTGCATGTAAGCAGTGATTGCTATGGACAGAATGGCCACTAGGGGTGTGTCTAGACTACATGCCTCCTTCGACGGAGGCATGTATTTTGGAAGAGATCTGAAAAAACTTCTTGCATAAGAGAGTGTCCACACTGCAAAAGAACATAAAAAAAGTGATGCACTTATTTGAAAGATTGCGTTCAGACTGCCTGGACGCTATCTTGCATGTAAGCAGTGATTGCTATGGACAGAATGGCCACTAGGGGTGTGTCTAGACTACATGCCTCCTTCGACGGAGGCATGTAGATTAGCCAGATCGGAAAAGGGAAATGAAGCCGCGATTAAAATAATCGCGGCTTCATTTAAATTTAAATGGCTGGGGCCCGCCTCCATTCCCCTCTCCCGATCTGGCTAATCTACATGCCTCCGTCGAAGGAGGCATGTAGTCTAGACACACCCCAAGATACCTGTGTTTTTTCCTTTTCCTCCTTCTTAAGAAAAAACTCCCTCTTTCCCATCCCCACACGCCTTTTTGCAAAGAGCTCTTTTGGAAAAAGGCTTCTTCTTCGTAGAATGAGGATTACCAACTGCTCAAAAAGCCCTCTGTTCTTTCGATTTACTGTCAAAAGAACGCACCTGCAGTATGGATTTAACTCAAGCTTTGTCAAAAAAATGGTCATTTTTCTGACAAAACTCTGTAGTCTAGACGTAGCATAGATCCTACCCCCTCAACAACTAAAGCTTAGCTATTCAACATTCCTCAGTTTGACAGAGCTGGAATTTTCTACTGGTAATAAACCATCATAAAAAAGCAAAGTGAAAACTTTAGTCATTGCTGTAAAAATGTCATGTCTGGTCTTCACTAGGAAATCAGGTTGGTGTAACGATCACTCAGTATTATAAAAATCCACACCCTTGAGCAATGCAGTTAAGCCAGCGTAATCCTTCCTCCCTCCCCCTCCCCCCCCGCCGGTATACACAATTCAATGTCAATGGGAGGACTCTTCTGCCAACCTAACTACCCTGCTCAGGGAGGTAGATTACCTATGCCAATGGGAGAACATCTTCTATCAGCATAGGTATCTTCTTCAGTGAAGTACTATAGATGGATTGCTGTGCCACTGCAGCCAACTTTTAGTCTATTGGTAGTCATTTTCCTTATCAATTTTGGATATCTATCTCAAATCAGAGAATACCTTCCAGTTAATCTTCTTGCAAAGCTGTTTTGAGAAGTTAAAAAGGACAAAAGGTCACTTCAGTCAATCCTGCATGCTGCCCAAACTCATTATGATATTCAGAACTATCCTGACATTCTTTCCAACACAAATTCTGAAAACAGCAGCTTTCTTGTCAACAGTTTGGCTAGGGTATCTCTATTTTACTGTCCTGTTAAGTGATCCAGTTTTCTTCAAGAGGTTTATTAATACTATATTGTGATTCAAATCTCCTACACATTCCATTTTGTAACTGGGAGATACACTACCAACTGTATGTGCATATGTCTTCCCAAAATATTAACTGAAATGAACTGATACATTTCAGTTCGATTTCTTGGTGGTCTCGATAATGATGATATATTATGCACTCCAACAATCCAAGAGAATGTCCAACATACTAGGTATACTTCTTAAACTGCCCCCACCACAGTACAGTATAGGAATCAAACTTTTTCCCACAGTTTGCTTCCATATGCCCAGTAGTAGAGTTTGCTGCCTCTGAAATAGGAATGAGTTTCACTATAACAGATGCATTTGTGTGGCACTGGAGACAACAAAGGAAGGGCTAATTTATCAAAAGTGGGGATTTTGTAAAATATCTCCCTGAAATATTGTTTACTCTGTTCAGGAATAAAGCTCTAGTGAGCACACCAGCACCATGAAGAACTGAACGTTAAAAACAGATAATATGATAAATGTCAGGGGTCACAGGAAAATGCCACCAACCTCAGAAACAGACCCTGCTCCTCCTCAGAGGAACTACTAAGAAGTCTGGTCCACACTAAAGAGGAAGATTGACTTGAGATATGTAACTCAAGCTACATTATGTCGATTCCAGCTACAAATTTTAAATTGTCATCCACACAGTGGGAGGTCGACAGTAGCAAATGCTTCCGTTGTCTTCCCTTACTTTGCGTGAGGAACAGGAGTACCAGTTGGTACTGCCAGGGACACCCTCTGAATTTGATTTAGCAGGTCTGCACTAGACCCTCTAAATCAAATCTCAGAAGTTAGACTGCAGCAGTGTCAATCTTCTGCATTGTGCACACATGATCAGAGAAGTTCTCTGAAAAAGTATTCTATTAGCCTTGCTTGCCATAATTGAATCCTTATGTACAACAGCTGGCTGATGGGGAACATGGCAACATTTTATATGTGAAAAGTGTCAAATTGTTTATTTCAGAACACTTTAGAGAAGTGATACCATGCTGCCTATCGGCACACACGGACTGGTAAATAAACCTCAGTTTTGGGTGTCAGGCATAATGTGCTAGAGGGAAACAGGTTTTCCTGATGCAATAGCTGTTATGTTGAATTGCAAAGACCTTCAACACTAAGAAAGATCGTAAGTGAAAGTTCTTCATTAGCCATGTATTTCACGAAGATTTGTTTTCTATGGAAGCACCCGTACTCTGTGGGAGACCCTTTCTTAATCCAGAATAGTTAGGAAATGAAACAATGAATCAATCAAACAAACAAAACCAAACAAAACATTACATTTTGTACCCTTTTCACCTGATCTATTTTTCTTAAATTAACAGAGTATCTGAGTACCTTACAATAAAATTTATCTTACCAAGACCCTATGAAGTAAAGAAGTACTATCATACTAATGTTATAAATAGGAAACTGTGGCAGAGAGGATATGCAACTTGCCTGAATCTACCCAGGAAACCTGGTAAAACACTCTTAAATCCATTCTCTCAAGTCCTAAGCTAGTTCCCTACCCACTTTATCAATATTTAACACATACAAGTGGGTCTAAGCACATGCCTAATTTTTTAATGTCCATTCTTCCAGCATACCATTCCACAAAAGAGATTTTCTAGAACTGAGTATATCTGATACCAAGAATGGTGAATGGCTGCCTCAGTATGTGGCTATAGTGGTGGATGCTAGAAGGCTGACAAACCTAGTAGATCAGATTTCAGGTGGTGTGTATTTTGTGGATGTGGTGATAGCTCTATGTCTGAGGTATGTGTCTCTGAGTGGAGGAAGAGAATATGTATTGTAACATTTCATTTCTGTGGTTTTGTGTTAGGTATGTCATACACAGATTAGTGTTTCAGTTAAGGTTGTGTTTCCATTAATTAATTTATAGATATACTTACATCATGGGCACATTTAAAGTATACAGAGAAAAAATATTGCAGAATCTGTCATCTGTAAATAGGTTTGGAAAACCTGTTTTCCATACCTTCCTCTTCAATATCACAAAATAGGAATATTTCATATTCCAAAAATCCAGTTAGAGCATTTAAGCTTTTTTCCTATTTCATTTAACTAGTTCTCTCTGTAGTTAGCTGAAGAATAGTTCAACTAGGTTTTGGGAGCTTTTTACACATATTGGATTTGTAGACTGCTTCGTGAGTCACTTTTTTTCCCCTATGAACCATCAGAAAAAAAGTTTTTTCCATTGAAGCAACTGCACATAAGTCAGATGAAGTGGATAGCAGAAAAGACTTTTCTGATCAGGAGAAGATGCAGACCCGGAAGGATGAGGGAGCAGATTGCTGCATGTTTCAGGTGAGGTCTAGTCTTTTTTTTCTACACATTAGGTCAAATTTCTGCCTTTGGGTATGATCACTGAACTCAGACTGATTTTTTCTCAGTACATTTAAATACACCCACAAAGCTGTCATTCACTGACAAGTGGCAGATATAATTTGAGATGAGAAAATGTTAACTAGAATAAAATAAGTCTGAATTTAGTTTGATAGGAAAAGTCAAAGCTACTATGCATAATTTGAACATGAACATTTCCAGTTTCCCAGATGGGTGGGTATCCCCTTTTAAATAGTCAGAATCCATTTTTAAAATATTGATATTACAAGTCTCTCCTTTTACCAATTAGCTGCACTAAATCAAAAATAGCATCACTTATATTTTCATATAATGAAAGCCAGCTATCTCACATCGCATGAGGTTTTAGTTCTCCTTAAAAGACAAATACATTACACAAAAATATAGGTCCTATATGAACATCTGCAGTAGAAAACTACATTGTATTGCAAGTGTTGCATAAAAATCAAAATAAAATATTAAAAGGGGAGATGTAACAAACATGCAGACGTGACAAAACAATTTAACTGTTGATCCATTCAACACAATGCAGCAATAGAACAGTCTAAAAAGCACTAAATTTTATGCATCAAAGACAGACAGTCAATCTGATCTGCCAGGCAATCTGTACTGAAATTTGTTTTAATGAATCCCTATCTCCACTCAAACATAAACCA